TTTCCCATCTCTCTCGCTTTCGCCACCCATCACTGTTTGCGATCATTGAGTAGGCCTTTTATCAGCCTGCACCTAAGCTGACTTCGCTCTTCATCATGTTCAGAGCCAGGTGGGATGAGTTTACGAGCGTCTATCAGTTCGGTGGATGCTAATGAGATCCATGGCTTCTTCCCAGTCTTATGCCTTACCTTACCAGCACATATCACTTCTGTTTCCTCAGCCTCTCTGATATCATTCCAAGCTGCCTCCGGATGAGAATCACTTGCATGGTCGCCTAACTGTTTTTCTAGTTCCTCCTGAAATATTTTCTTAGCTTGATTATCATTAGGTAAAGCCCTAAAAGGTTTTCTTGCGATATTTTTCTGGCGTCCGGTAAGGCGCAAACAAATACGCGCTCGCACTAGAGCATGATCTGAATCTAAACATGTGCTCCAGAACGAGCGACAGTCCTCCATCGAACCCCTTCATCGGTGGCTGATGACGATATGATCTAGTTGCGTCCAACGTTGAGACGACTTTGGGGGTCGCCCGGTCAAAAGATGTTTTTCCATATGCTTAAAATTAGGGTTTGCTAGAAATAGGCGGTTATTTGAGCATACTTGCAACAGACGGTCACCATTGTCTGTTCTCTGAGTCACGACACCATAACATCCACCAGGGTGTCTTTCCTTTTCACTTAGTCTATCTTCTTGAGCATTAAAGTTACCAGCCATTATTACTATATCAGAGTGCCTAACTTTTTGGCGGTCCGAAAGCTTTCTGTAAAACTCATCTTTCACCTCGTCTGAGATGTAGGCGCAGACAACGAAGAGGCAACATCGAGTGTCCCTATCTCTCCGAATCCTTACTGTCCCGTTCAGTCAGACAGTGCATAAGAGACTATCTACTGGGATCCAGTCAAGGAGAGATTGTTCAGCTCTACGACTCAATGCTATGCCTACGCCAGCAAGACCCCTGGAAGCAGCATCAGGGCTTCCAGATACACGGACCTTGAGTAGCTGCTTTCAGTCAATATTTTATATCTGTTTTTAGCTTACCTTGGAAAAAATATATATATAAATATATGTGCTAAAGACTTAATAACTTTCCAGACGAGCGTTAAGTAATTATCGTTGGCAAACTATGTGAAGCCACAATGTGCATTATTTATTATCTAGTTGCTTTTTTTAAAGGCGTCTTCATTTATGATTTATATTTGTTTGAAGACGTGCATTTATTGTTTAGACAATCGCTACATTCATTAAAGATTTTTTAAATTGCATATACACAGCCTCTAAACATTCAACTAAGTAGATACAATGAATTAAGAGAAAGTTAATTTGAATGACGGTTTGGAAAAAAGCGATCATTTACTTGTTCTGTGTTTTTGGTTTATTTATATCGGATTGTCTTTGGTTTAACAGACAGATTATATATAAGTGAGTAGGATATATATATATATATATATATATATATATATATATTCGTGGAAGTAATCAAAATACCAATACCTTAATTCATTTAGTGAGTATATGTTGAATATGTGAATGTGATTCACTTACCAACTAAACATTCATGTACGCAACTTTAGACCATATGTTTTATTTAAGTGTTACTGATGTTGCCTTAGGTATCTAAATAAAAGTAGAATGTATATGGTCACTATCTTATACACATGTGCATGGCATTATTCATAATGATTGGGCTGATTGGAATGTTAATAAATGATTTTCATAGAATTACCTTATTTGTCACTAAATATGCAATACATGGGAAATAACAAAATGTCTTCTGTTTAAATGAGAGACAAACATAGTCATCATCAGCATAATTATTTTTATCTACTTTTTGGGAAAAAAATCACTTAAACCTTAGTAGATATATTGATAAACTTTTGTACAATTAGGAAGTTTGAAGTACAAAAAATCACTTAGATCAAGTATCCGAGTAGAAGAAAATGAACGATTATGAAAGTGAATAGTTTATATATGTTAGGTTAGCTGATTGGTTGGTTTCATATTTGACTACTGTAATGACTAAGTCCTATTAAAAACTAATTTTTACTAAATTACAGGGTACTCATTTTAAAAAAAACGATATTTTTAACATGACGTAAATTTTTCATTGTTAGAGTTGTAAAATGCACATAGCTATATCACATCCTTCAGCATTCAAAAGAAGCGTTTTTTAATATACGCATTAGTTGTTTCTGTCATATGGTTACTTTGAATTTAGCCATGGGACTCAACCCTTCATTTAATAAGTATAGAAAAGTAATAAAAACCCTGTTATTTCCGGACACATAGGAAAGCCGACATCAAAACAGAATATTTTTGTTTACGAACTTCAAAGCAGGTCGATACATAAAATGTACATAACAAAAAACGTTTACATATTAGTGTATTTGTTAGCTAGATATGAGTTAGGTAAAATAATAGCAGGGATAAGTTTTCATGCTAAAGTAAAGCTAAATATTAACATAGCCACATACTTCATAAAAACCATTCAATTTTCTAAGTTTGACATTAAAGTAATCCTATTACTGAAAATATTTGGAAATCTCAAAATCGAAATAGTTATAATCTAAAAATAAAATTTTTCAATGAACCTATATGAATAACAGACAGTAATAGTAGTGAAACATGTACAAGAGATAAATCAATTCTTTTCAAAATAAATTTCGGTCATTCGGTAGGAAACAAGAGCACACACAACTAAGATTTAGTTTATGATTGACAGCAAAGACTGACACTAAAGAGACAAGCAAACAAAAGATGGCCACGTTGGACAATTATCCGATCCTTGTACGGCAATAACCAGAAGTGCATACACAATAAGAAAACGCGCGCCGAACCCAGACGAGTCAGGCCTTCTGAAGAGTACGTCGCATTCAAAACACCAAACTAAGATTTAGTGGGTCAGATTCCCAAATACAGTGACCAAGATAGAATCTTTTGGCATCGTATATTACTAAATCAGAGCATAAAAATTTCCACTCAGACCGTCACTTGGTTTATCAGGATTGTTAATTGGGCATTTTATAAGACGATTAGCACTTTAATATTTGATCCATCAAACTATGCTCTGGGAACATCACTCTAAAATAACAACTTTTCAGTTTAAGTCCCTGGGAGTACTCCGCTGCACAGACTCATTGAATGATCTGTACGTTGCATATATATTTTGGTATCTCCTTGAACCAATGTTTGTGCTTGAATAAAACCTCCTGCAGAAAAGTGTTTCAGTGTTGTTGGATTTACGAATGCTGATAGTGTGAGTCCTCCATACAAACTCCCTTTTACGTGTATTTTCTAGATTTTTTGTTGTTGAATGTAGTAAGTTGTATTCATTACATGTAGACTTTTAATGAATGTTGGTTATTTCTTTCTAGCGAAAGAATAAATATATGGTAATGGTGCTCTTAAAACACCAATATGATGAAATCTCACAAAGTCTATTGTTTAGTTGTACAGGCTTCCTAATGAAAACCAGTTAGTGCGACAACTTATAAAGTGAAATTTCTGTACGCTGAAATTACACAAAAAAGGGATCAGACTACTTCAAGTAGTATAATTATATAAACTTTTGTTTTCTACAGTGACTGGTCTATCAGATACAAAATTCATGGGATTAATTATGAAGACTTCTAGCAGTTCTGAATGGAGCGCTTCCTTTCTCATCAGGATTACTTTTCTATCATAAACAGACAATATTCCCAAGGTGCTTAAGATCCAATACTACGATGCCTTTTACCTTCGTTTACAAATGATTGATTATTGAGTGACGACCAATATCATGTATCAAGTCCTTTTTAGTGCTAATCGAATTTTAACAATCAAGCTGTAATTTGGTCATCAGTCTAAGTGACTAAACGTCGTGTAGATTATTTTGACAGAAGACCTTGTCGACTACCTCTTAACACCTTACGCTTTCGGTTTTCGAGTATCATATTTGAGAAGAGGAAAATAAGCATTGCAATACTATACATATTTGTCTACGGAAGTAAAAACGCAAATGCAGAGCAAACTTTCTGCACTTATGTGAAGGTTTAGCTAGCCATCAATCTATAATGGTAATATATGTTCATAAAAGCTAAAAGGAAATTCAAATCAAGAGCAAATGTTACACACCAGAGAGAGACTACCTGTCGGTTGGAATATCAGCAAAGCTGAACAGAATGCTATCAAGTAACATTGGTCAGGTCCGATAGCGAACGACCTAATGTCAAATGATAGTGTTCACATGATAACGACCCAATATTAAAACCCACATCTAGTGAAGTTCTTTATGCTGCATGTTAGGGACGCTTAAAAATCGCCACTGATGCACTTCGTTATTAACTTCATGTAAATATAATCGACTTAAAATCACACTGTATAAATCAGTGCTAGTGATATTGCTAGGTTTTGCAAACTGAATTAAGTATAAAAAGGTTTAAAGCTGTAACACAATACGTAAAACCGAAATCCTTAAGCGTCCAAGCTACTGCTGCATGTCACTGATGAGAAATTTTGTCACATATATCAAATCCACATAAAATATTTGATTATTGCTTAATATTCCCTAAACGACACGGAATAGTGATAAAGTGTTTACTTCTAACGAAAAGAATCTACACGGACATATTTTGAAAACATCGTATGACAAAATGTAAGATGTTTTTTCTGCATTAACAATGATCGGATAGCTGAACAAACTCCGCCTATAATCCCTCTGGGGCTACTGCCAATCCTAAGTCCGGATAAAGGAGGATGGTTGGGCATCGGGTTGATGACCTCATCCCATAAGAAACTAACTCGCTAAAAAACGCTAACCAGTAAACATAATTGAAAATATTTTAAATATGCCCTAGAAGTTGGCTCTTCTTTTAGAAGTGTTACGACGTCTCATGATGAAAGTCCAGTTTCTTCGGAAGTTACGAGGTCGATCCCCATTCTGACAACCAGAGTAACCATTCTTTTAGGTACATAGAACATTCGAACATTGTGGGAGATTGGAAGACTATTTTATAGAAGGATAACTGAACAGAGCTGAGTTTTTATTTTTATTATGCTTACGAAACAAAAACTATGTTGCTTTGAAAAATATGTATTCAAGTATGTAAGTGTTATATGAAATCAGTAAAATAAAACGTTTCTTCAAAAAAGGGTATAAAATATGACTGATATGATCAAGAAAATAGGGCATGATAAATATGTGGTTGTAGGCTATTATTCATAAGCGGCAGAAAATTTCAATCCGAGTCATTCATCTAAAATAAATTAGAAAAAATTGGATAGTGTTTGATCAATTAATATGTTAAAATATACTAGTGGACATTTCATTAAATTTTGCATATCTGTCAGCTGAAGAGAAAAAAAATATTTTTGACAATAACCTCTTAATGAGTAGTATGTTGGCATTTCTTAACACTTAACATTTAAACAGTAATTGTTATCATACTTTATCAATTAGTTGTAATGTAGTAAGTTAATTGTCATAATTTATTGAATGCAAAGAATTTTAGGACACTTATCGGATGGTGATATTAATTTAGGAAAACAAGGTATACAAATAAATCGTTATTTTGAACGGTGGTAAACGACTTTTTGTCTGCATGTTAAAATATATTGAGGGACAAAAATGATACCCATATGTCATACTGATTTGTTTGGCTACAAAATTTTACCAATTTATACAAAACAGGGATTAAATAACATGCTAGAAAACTTATTGCTAAGAAAATATACTTAAACATAAATTTATGTGTTGGGGATGTTTCCCACCAGCAAAATCCTTGGCTGTGATTGGTTACTGTCCCAAAGACGTCTCTATAGAGTATAAAGAAACGCGATTTGAGTGCTTGGATACATTGTGCTGGCAGGGTATTTGTAGAATAACAATTTCTACGCTATATCAAGACATCTTGATACAATTTGTTCAAGGGATCACAGCAGTCTACCTGGACGCTGGTTCATTGTTTTGTTCTCGTTATTCGACTAAGGTGAACTCGAAATAGTTGAAGCATACCTAAAGACGAGTGTAACATTATGGATGATAGAAGTCAATTATAGTATATTTACACTTCCACTGTTTCTTAATTTTAATAAATCTGGATAATACATTACGAAATATTGTGCGTATTCACACTAGATAGTTACCGAGCAATAACCAATATTACGGTTTCTAGTTCACAGTGGTCATAGAATACTAACATCTAAGTTGTGATGTGAATGTCACGTAAAATAGGTGGAACGTGCAATGCACTTTGTTTTGATTATACGTGGTTGGATACAATCATCAGAATTCATCAGCCAAACTCCTCACCAAGGTTGGAGAAGCTTATTTTCTTGGCAAGAATCAAAATCGAGAAGTCAGTCATTGCCATGAAAAATTCAATGAAAGGTAACATTAAACTTAATGACATAGATTTTTGTCGATTTCCTGCAACGCTCGGTAATCCAACGTTGAAACAGCAAAATATTTTGAAAATACGGATAGCATTTTCATAGTAGTGGTAGTCAATAAATATTAGTTTTGGTATCGTTGATAATGGACGAATAACACTTACCAAATGCTCAACGTTGAAAACGAAAGTGGGAGATACAGATTTGGCACTTTTTGTCTCAACAAAATGAGTTGTTATATCCTCCAGGTTCAAAAACTCATGATTTTCCGACTGACTAACACCGATTTCTGGAACATCTTCATTACACAAAAGACCAAAACCTGTGTACGCGAAGATAATTCATTATAAAGGTACTTATAAAGATGAATAGAAAGAGATTTTGATAAATTAAAAATTATTCCATAGATACATTTTAGTGTTGCATCTGATTTCTGGAGGTGAGATACATAAAGCTATAATTGTTGATGAAAAAATCAGTTCTCTCCTACTTGGTTTAGGAGCTGATGATATTATGCAGAACGACGATAAAAATTCCGCTATTAAACTACCAACTTTTAAAATGTAATGCGAATCTCTATCATCTCATAATAAGTTGTTTGTTGTTTCTACATGAACACAGGTGGACACTGGTCTTCTATCCTGTGTATGAATATATAATAAGTTAAATCTATCGAAACGATTAGCAATACGAGTGAGATAAGCAAGAAATTGAAGTCTATTAGAAACAGCGATTTGTCTAAAAAACATTCCTTTATTGATGAATAAACATAAATTGGGCACAAACCTCCACTTGTGAGAAGTATAGGGTGATTAACGCGTCTGAATGTCTGTAAAAAAAGGACTTCTTGTAACAGTAACATGAAGAATAATTACGACGCATGATAATGTGTATGACAGCTGATAGCTGTGTCTAGTGTTAACAACACAAACACACACACACCTGATTGATAGCAGTCATTATATAGATAAAACTGAATCGCTGCAGGTGATCTCTCGTATACTTCAATCGTTTCTCCGAAATATAACAGAAGCCATAGTAATCCGAACATTAAACTCCAATTTATATGTTCATAAGAAATTCCTTCACCAAATATAACTTAATAAATGATTTTATATCTTTTATTTTTTATTATTAGTAGTATTATTTGCACACCCTGTGATTATTTGTTATTTATTTCGCTTTTATTCTGCCCCATCTAATTATTTGACGCTCTTCCTAATACATAATTTTAATAAAACTTTGCCATTATCCACGTCTGACATACCACTTCCAATGTTGAACTACTGAAAAAAAACTTTTATTGTATTTTATCATTCTTATTAGTACCAGTACGCCTGTCTTCCTACTGGCTACCTGTACTTTTACCTACTATGTGTAGTGACGTAACCTATTTCATTGTGATTATTGACTCAAGTTGCCTTGATTGGTTTAACATTTTCATATAAATATTCATTTATATTAGAGTAAGGCCTGATGATGATCAAATTGAAAACTATATCGTCCGCTTATATATGTTGTTTTAAAGTAACTGCTTACTGAATATAATTAAGTAGCATAAATCAATACACAAATAAAATATGAAAAGTGGGAAGATATATATCTATATTTTCAATTCGAGATAAGGAAAAAAATACAATACATATCTACATACCTTTTGTGATTGTTTCCAGCCAAAACGATAACTTGCTATCATTCGAAGCATGTTCAGATGAGGCATTACTTCCAAGAAGATTACGATCGATAAGATCCTGGCGCCAATTGCGAATAAATGAGTTATATTTTCGAGCGATTTCAAGGTGTGTGTTGCTGTTGCATGTGGTGTCAATAATATGGTTGTTTCCATTACCATTTTTGACAATTTCTTCACGTGGCTGAGCATGTCTACGATAGGCGAGCAGGTAAGCAATAGCTCTGGGACGCAACAAAGCTTCAGTAAAAGGGTCAGTCACTAGTTGAATTATTTGTTTCTCCAATAGGCTACAAGCTAAATTATGCAAGATGAGCACTTTAGCAAATTTAAGTGGTAAAATAAACCTTAATACCAAAATACAACTCGTAACAGAAACACGCAATAGACTTTCATGGGAAATACCAAACTAACGTTGGTGATATAGCATAAGGTCTTTAAGAAGTATTAAGCCGAAGCTTTTTTATATTCCTTAATATCATATACAGTCTTAATTAGCTTTTTTCCTAGGTCTTAAAGATTAAATAAACACAGTCAACTATTCCTTTAAGTTAGACGAATCGAATTTGAAAAGTAGTTAGATCAGCAGGGAAAAATTATAAAGCTGGTAAATCTTATATATTGTAAACCTTTTCTACGTTTAGTAAGTTAAGACTATATTTAATATTAATATACTAGGGTTGTATTCTGTAAAAACTATACGAAGCGATGACTACTCATAGGATATAAATAATCTCTGTTAATTTATTGAAATATGCAGTTATCCGTCCATAAGGGCACCTAAAGATTTATGCGCCACACAAACCATTGAATTTGTGTTACAAAACAGGATATTCAGAAGCGATATATCGTAAACTATCTCAAACTGCTGCCAATATTTTAGGATCAGAGCAGGTCAACTACATGTGTTGTGAGTTCATTTTTACACACTTTGGGTCCCCGTTAGAACTCACTAATAAATGTATTTGAGGTGCTGTTTTTATGCTGCTGTGATCAATCAAACGAAGTTCTGTCAGTTGACAAAGTACCAACAACACTAAGATATAAGAAATGATGAAGGACGGGCAGTGACAGGCAGATCAGTTTAACAAAATACTTAAGTAATGTCAATATTGGTCACCTTAATATTATATCAAAAATTTCATCATAAGAAGCATACCAACTTCAATTTGTTGCTGGGAGATGAGATTTTCAAAATCTTGGACGGAGTTTATTTGAATGGAATTCGATACTGATGTACTTTGAATGAATGAATTATCAGTTGGTTCCGAACTTGAAGTCGGTTTTTCTGTTGGATGTTCAGTGTGTACTTCTTTCGTAGACGAAGAAGAAGCGTAAAGTTCTTCATTCATCAAACGGCGTCTTTTTGCTAAATATTCTTCCGTGAAATCGACTGACTGGCTAGCAGGACGAAGAGCTGGAAATGAATGTAGCAGAATATTGTGGGATTCAACTAAAGATGTAGTTTCAGAATGTGAATTGATTTGTGTGATGATTTCCTCCAAACCAGGGAATATTTCAGGTGATAGCCAAACATCGGAAGAATCTGAATGGTCTAAAGATATTGGAAGTGGTACTGAAGGTTTAAGACCCCGTTTTCTAAGACATGCAAAGAAACGTTGGATCCAGGGGTTTGATATACGTTGAAGTTTTAGGCTAGATTTAGACGAAGTAATAAAACAACAAGTTACCAGGAGAAAATCCATCCTACGCTTAATTGACCGTAGGCGAATATTTCTTTTCAAACATCGTAAGAAACGCGTTATTACTTCATCGCTGTACAGCTTACAGAATTAGACTAGTGTGATGTGTTGAAGAAAAGTTATCAATATTCATATAAATGGTGAATCATTTTCACTAAGCACGAACACACGACGTAGAACCATCGGATTCTTAACACGGCGTTGCCATCGAATGTCAGTAATCCTTTGGAGGCAACGATAATTGAACACAAAGCTTTCTAATATCATCAACTCGAAGAGAACCGGCTTCACAAACATAGAGTAAAACTGCTCTCACCGACTCATTGTAGACCAAACCTTTTACAGACCGGTTAACATCACAAAGATGACAAAGATGACCCAGACGAGCTTAAGCCGCCCAAGTTTTCGCTGTACGTGGATTGATCTCATCACTCATACAGCTATCCAAGTACATGAACTTTTCGACTTCTGTCTGCTCACTACCAAGAGTGAGTGCAGGTTCATGGTTCTGCTAGTCATGTAAAAGTACTTTGAACCTTCTAGGTGCAAAGCAAATGTAATACCTACAGACACTAGTTGCCAACTGATTAGGTGCAATTGTCTGGCTTAGGTATCTTCATACAGTAAGACAATATCGTTCCCATACTCAAGATCGGAAAATCTTTCTACAAGTAACACATCCATCCCACCGTCACCTACATCCATCAGAGCTGTTTCCAGAACGACATCGATGGGAAATTGGAAAGGAATGGTGATACTGGGTAACCCTGTCTAATGCCATGGTTTAAATCCAACAATGGAGAGAGGCAGTTGTATGCCCTAACTCAGCCTGAAGTGTTTGTGTATAGGACATTCAGGATGCTAAACTTCTGAAGTACAACCTTCTTTAAAAGACAGTCCGAGAGAACAGTCTTGTCCAACGAATCGAAGGTGGCCCAGAAATCAAGAAACACGACGATTATTTGTCTATGTGCGGTAAGTGTGGTGGTGTTCTAACATTCGGTGGAGAGCGAAGGTACTAACAATACATCCTCGACCACAACGAGAACTAGCCAGCTCGTCACGAGTAAATCTTTCTCGATTTTAATGTGGATGCAATCGGTAGTGTGTTTATTCCCCGAATTTGTTGTTAAATAGATGACCTGAATTTTTTTTAAGATAGGGACAACTATCAACTCATTGCACGATATTGGAACACTCTCTAATTTCCAAACCTTTGTAAACAACTCAGTCAGTTTTATAGTCAGAAAGTCCCCACTATCTTTAAAAAAGGTTGAAGGGAAGTCATCTGGGCCTGGTGATATGTGGCGTTTCAAGAGTAGGAGTTTCTTGAAGACTTCCGCCTCGTTAAGTGGACCAGTCTTCATCAGTCATGGAGGACAGGACAGCCCGATAGATGTCGTCAAGGCAACAGACCAGATTAACTGTTTCTCAGACAAATCTGTCCATCATCCAAGACTTTGGTGGATGTTATTGATTGGCGTCTCATCAGCTTCAAAAATTATTTCACTTACACCAGACCTCTTACTGACAGTAGCTCAGGTGAGTTAAAAGAGCTTCCGACAGTTGCCAGATGCAGCTACTACCTTCAACTCCTTAGCATGTTCTGACCACCAGGTGTCTATGTCTCCATGCAAACTTTGAACTATTTGAATACGTCACAGTCTTTTTTGTCGTCAAACTCGCAGTTGCCGAGAGGAGACCAACGTGCCTCAATACTTAACAACTGGACGTTTCCAGAAACCGTAAACGACGTTACTAGCTACTTTCATGGCATCGTGCAGTTGTAGCCACTGTTCATCTGTACTTTTCCGTGGGTCGATAACTAGCCTTGAACCTAACTCGACCTGATAATTCGTTTCAGCAGAAGCTACAACCGATTTCTGACATCGATCCGTTTAAGACGATGGATTTGTTGGACACTGAAAAGTAAGACAAGACTAGTACAAGCAAGGGCATGACCAAAGTTCAGATAAGTACTCCAAAATGAGCGACAGTCCTGTACACAACCACGCCAGTGGTAGCTGATCGTGATGTGATCAGTCCGAATTCAGGCTTAAGATGCAGAGGGAGGACGTCAGGTAGCACATTAGCAATTATTGTGTTGACAGTTAGTGCTAGCCAGAAACAGGTCGTAATCTCAGTAAATACAATTTTTTTTACCATAAGTTATTTGTATACACAAATTATTTTGATGTCAAATTTTATTATTGTGCAAGTTCCTCATCTTATGTTCAGATACAACTCAACCAAATCCTACCTACCTAAACTTCTTTATTTTATTTATTTGATTAATCGCAGATATATAGAAATTAAACAAGAAAACTAGACAAATCTTATGTGGTTAATTTGAAAGTTAGTAAAAGTACATTTAAATCATAGCTCACGTTTTTCTTGATGAGTTATTTTCAACATCGTTCTTATTGATTTCACCATCATCATCATCACTTTCATCTGAATAAGTTAACATCATAGAATTAATGAAGGAATCCATAGCTGACAATTGTTCTTGAGATGGACAATCATTACACAATTTAGTGGTGGTTGAAGATTCAACTGAAGATCCTATGGTGGAAGTGGAAGGCTCACAGGAAACTGGTAAACTTGGAAGTTGAAGATTGCGAATGTCTTCACTGAACGCTATATCAGTATACATGAGTAATACCTGATCATCATGAATTCTAAAAGATCAATCAAACAACATTTTATGTAGCAATAGTAATTTACTGAGTTTTACAAATAAGTTAATGATAACGAAAGTTTACGACACTTTCACGGGAAGCTTCATTTTTATGCTCGTACTACGACTGAAACAACTAACTCGAAATAGTAAAAAGTAATCATTTCTCCATTATAATTGATCGGATCCATGCATCTACATTACCACTAACACAAATGAAGAAAGCATAGTTGGATACTGAATAATTAATGACATTGTTGTTGGTTGGTTTAGAAGTGCAAACTGCAAATACATGTTTTTAAAATTGTATGTTAGGATAAAATTGTTTGTTTAATATTTTATTGTGAAAATAAACAGAAATATGCAAACAAACAAACTGATGAAAAATTAGCTATTGCTTACTCTGGAGTTAAAACTCCTAGTCTAACAGTACTTGTTTGATTGTACACTCTCCGAACGAGAGCGACACCACTAGTCTCGTAAAGTGCTTGAGTTAACGCTGCCAAAGCTGTGGAACTAGATGGAGCATCGGTTACATTATCTTCAGAGGGTTTGACTGTTTGCGCAACAAAAGCCAACACACTTTCACCAGTGTAAAAGTTATGAGGGATCTGACCAAGGATGAATGAGAATAAAGAAAAACACATGTTTACGTTGTATAGAGAAATAAAGATAAGCAGACACAATTACAAAAAAAAAACAAGAATGCACTATGATTAATTGGAATGTTTTACAGTAGCATCGAAACAAAACATAAGAAAATAACTATCAAGACAAGAATATAGATTCAGAAAAGAAACCAAATGAACAGTAGCAAAATATCAGAAATACAGTAGATAAACAACGGTTGAATCAGTGCCATTTTATTTAATTGCTTTAACACATAAATACTAGTATTAAAGGGAACTAAAGTAATAGTGAACCACAATAAATAATGAGGTTGCGAAGGGGTAAAGGAAATTGAGTATAAGAAAAGACGAAAACGAATATAAATTCATGAATGAGAGCGATAATAATAATAATAATAATAATAATAATAATAATAATAATAGGAGCAGTTTAGTTAATATAAATACAACCATAAAGAATCTTTTCAGCTTAAGAAATTCCTATGCTTTATGTGAAAAAAAATTAAAGAAAGCTACAGCAGGACAACCACTGGCTTCTAATCTAAGCAATGTCTGATTAACTTTCAAGCCATTGAGCCGTGCGATCTCTGGGACCCCAACAGACAGTCATGAACTAACAATAAATTCCAGTCTTGTATAGCTTCCTTTCGTACCACCACATCATGTCACATACCAACAACCTCTTCACTCTTTTCAACCAGTCATACTGTCGAAAAATAATGCAAGTTGTGAAATCCATTGTGATAACTTTCACAGTACATGTCCGAATGACCAGCCAGTGTTTCAAAATGGTGCCACCAACTGAGTTATTTCCGCTGTGCACGAACACGCGGTGCCGAGTTTCCGTATTATTAACATGGTGTTGACACTGAATATCGGCAATCCTTTGAAGAAAAATATAGTCAAACACTTAACATCCTTAACGTGCATAGGCCAGGTCCTACAAGCGAAGAGTAACACTTGCCACACCGAAGCATTGTAGACCCAAATTTCTACAGCCCGACTAACATCATAAAGACGCCAAATATGGTCCAGATTGACATAAGTCGCTCTGGCTTTCACTATACGCGAATTAATCCTATCACTCACAACGCCATCAGCGTGAATCTGTGTCATTAATGGGCATATCCTTATCAGAGACTTCAACCAACGATTCCTATCACCCCAAAGCCTTCCCTCGAAAACCAGTAACCTTCGAATATCTTCTACTCTCACTGGCCATGTTTCACAGCCATAGAGTAAGTCGAGGCGAACTACTGCACAGTACACTCGTCCTTTAGTCAGCAAACGGATATCTCGCCTACGCCATAGGTGACGCAGGTTGGCAAAAGCCAATCGAGCTTTCTGTATTCGTGCTGAGATTTCGTCAGTCATCAGGCCATCAGCACTGATGAGACTTTCGAGATAAATGAAGCGTTCGACCCGCTCAACTACTTCCCTCCCTATCACTAGTTCAGGTGCCCACGCAACCTAGTCTTGAAGCAACATTTTGCATTTCAAGGGGGAAAACCGCATCCCGAACATGCTTGCATTGTTGATTATGGTAGTCAGAAGACTCTACATTTTGTCAGCGTCTTCACCGAATAGAACTATGTCATCAGCATATTCTAGATCAGTAAGCAACTTTCCTGGTAGAAGGTCAACCCCTAAAAAATCTGACGAGCTTAATGTTAACTCTAAGAGGACGTTTACGACACAGTTAAACAAGAATGGAGAGTGGACAGCCCTGACGAACACCACTTGATGTAGAGAATTCAGATGACAGTTCGCCATAGGCTCGCACTCGACAAGTGGTGTTCGAGTAGAGCTTGTATAAGGTTAATGTACTTCCTTGGTACACCTTTCAATGACAGACACTGCCACAGAACCTCACGATCCACTGAGATAAATGCCGCCTTAATGTCCAGGAAGACAAATATTGTAGGACGCCTAAATATTTGTCTGTGTTCAAGGACCTGTCGTAGTGTGAAGATGTGGTCTATACATCCACGACCAGGTCGAAAAGCAGCCTGGTTTTCTCTAGTCTGCACTTCACGAGCGCTAGTTAGGCATCTAAGTATAATGGAGGCTAACAATTTAGACACTATATTAGTTAGACTTATTCCCCTGTGATTGTCACAAGAGGACATTTGTCCTTTCTTGTAGACTGGGACAATTAGCGACTGAGACCAGTCAGATGGGATTGTGTCCAGTTCCCGGATTCTACCTGAGATCTCAGTCAGTCTAACTGTTAAAACTGGACCACCATCCTTAAGCAACTCAGGGGTCAGTCTATCAGGACCCGCAGCTCGCCCTCTCTTCAGATTTCCTAACGCTTTTCCAACTTCATTCAGACTAGGGGGACTTACGACGATTTGCCATTCAGGATGACTGGAGATCGTGGGTAACCGAAGAGTGTCTCGAGGCCAGTTGAACTGATCCCTAAAGTGTTCTGCCCATCGATCCAGTCTCCTGGATTGAGAATAAATAACAGTCCCGTCATTTTCTGAGATAGTCTCACTTACACTAGGATTCTTAATACCAGTTCCCTTGATAAGTCGGAAAAGTTGTCTACTGTTGCCGATCGCCGCTGCCTTTTCCATCGCTTTTGCTTTCGCCACCCACCACTGTTCGCGATCGTTACGTAGGCTTTTCATAAGTCTGCGCCTAAGTTGACTTCGTTCTTCATCATGTTCAGAGCCAGGTGGGAAGAGTTTTCGGGCATCCATCAGTTCGGTAGATGCTAATGAGAACCATGGCTTCATTCTAGACTTATGGTCAACTTTACTAGCACATATCACTGCTGTTTCCACAGCCTCTCTGATATCATTCCACGCTGCCTCCGGATGAGAATCACTTGCATGGTCGCCTAACTGTTTTTCTAGTTCCTCCTGAAATATTTTCTTAGCTTGATTATCATCAAGTAAAGCCCTAAAAGGTTTTCTTGCGATACTTTTCTGGCGTCCGGTAAGGCGCAAACAAATACGCGCTCGCACTAGAGCATGATCTGAATCTAAACATGTGCTCCAGAACGAGCGACAGTCCTCTATCGAACCCCTTCATCGGCGGCTGATGGCGATGTGATCTAGTTGCGTCCAACGTTGAGACGACTTTGGAGGTCGCCAGGTCAACAGATGCTTTTCCTTATGCCTAAAGTTAGTGTTTGCTAAAAATAGGCGGTTGTCTGAGCACACTTGCAACAGACGGTCGCCATTGTTTGTTCTCTGAGCCGCGACACAATAACATCCACCAGGGTGTCTTTCATTTTCACTCAGTCTACCTACTTGAGCATTTAAGTCACCTGCCATTATTACTATATCAGAGCGATTAACATTTTGGAGGAGGTCCGAAAGCTTTCTGTAGAACTCATCTTTAACCTCGTCTGTACTGCAGTCAGTGGGGGCATAGGCAGATACGATGAAGAGGCAACGGCGATTGTCCCTATCTTTCCGAGTCCTTACTGTCCCATTTAGTCGGACAGCGCACAAGCGACTATCTACTGGGATCCAGTCAAGGAGAGATTGTTCAGCTCTACGACTCAATGCTATGCCTACGCCAGCAAGACCCCTGGAAGCAGCATCAGGGCTACCGGATACACGAAGAGTGAATCGAGCTGCTTCTTTATTTTGACAAGGTGAAATCAGATTAATAATTTTACTAGGATCCTGTATGCGCGTTTCCGAGACGTAGCATACATCGATGGCACGAGATTCTAAAGTCCTAGCTAATGATGCCTGTTGCCCTATTTTACACAATGTATGTACATTAAATGCTCCAACATGTAGTCTAGAGCGGGGTTTAAGGAGACCAGGAACGACGTTTCGCGAACTCGTGTCGTCTGCATTAGCTGTGCACTGTGATAAATGAATGTGAGAAGAGTTAGTCGTGGAGATAAGAGAGGTATTAGGAGGTGTAAGAAGGATTTGGTGTTGACCAATTTGGTCTCGCGTGCTGTTACGGGTATGAGGGCGGTTGTTACTACACGGCATTCCACACCGTGGAAGGTTGTTTCTAGAGGAACCTGAAAAGGAAAATAGATTAGTGTTGGTCTTAGAGACCTGGGTGCGTGACCGCAGAATCTAAGGGACAACTGCTTGAGGCCGGTCACGCACGGCCTTTTTATGAAACGTTTTTTGAGGACTATTGTGTAGTGTACCTTATAGGGTTCCTCTTTATTGATTATAAGACCTGTTTGTGCCTACTCTCGGTCTCGACGTCTCGCCATGTTTGAAATCGAGGTTGGTGAGTAACAAGCAGTTTTCTGAACACACTTGTACGAAATTATCAGCGTGGTCGACTTGTCACAAAGGGTCTCCATATATTTACTGTTAAATCTGATGAAGCGTTCAGACGCTGAAATCAGTTTGGAACAAGATTTCAGAAGACAAAAGTACAAATTCGTATGTTAAGATTATAAGCACATGTTGCAAAGTAAGGGGCGATATAAGTTGTGAAAGATCCCAGGAAAGAATAAAGATCAAAACGTTTACTGTTTTGTAGAGAGGGTTTTAAAGCTAGTTCGTTTGCAGAAGAGTTGTACTTCAGGTCCATTTTCAGGATGTAAATGAACAACTTTCATAAGTGTTTCAAAAGGAAAACGATAATTGCTATGGGACCGTAGAGCTTAAAGGACATCTTCGTAAAATTGGTGAGATGTAGGATTTCAGTTACTGTAGTATTTGAATTTTGATCATTTCTTAATGAAAATAATGGTAACAACTAAAATAGGTTGGACAGAATGAGACTGACTCCTTTTCGTAGAACGATATTTGCCAAACGATTCCCTCAATGAAGATTTTGAATTTCGATAACGACACTGACAGCTTTACATATTACTTATGCCTGTTATCCCTAATGGAGCATAGGCCAATGACCAGCATTCTTCAAGTTCTCTGTCCTCAGCTTTTCTTTCTAGTTCTGTCCCATTATCGCTCATTCTTCTCATGTCTGTCTCCATTTCTCGACGTAATGTGTTTTTTCGGTCTTCCTCTTTTCTCTTGGCCTTACGTATTTCAATCGAGGTTTTGTATTACGACGCAGTTGGGGAATTTCTTCAATGTGTATCCTATCAACTTCCAGCGCTCCATCCTGATTTCTTCCTCCGCTGGAATCTGGTTTGTTCCCTGCCACAGTAGGTTCTTGTTGATAGTGTTTCGCCAACGGATCTGAAGCATTTTGTGTAGACAGCTGTTAAAAAACACTTGTATCTTTTGGATGATGGCTTTCGTAGCTTTCCAAGTTTCCGCCCCATACAGTAGAACTGTGTTGACGTTTGTATTGAAAATTCTGACCATGGTATTGATTAATGGTTGTTTTGAGTTCTAGATGTTATTCAATTGTAGAAATGCTTCCCTTGCTTTTCCGATATGCGCTTTCACATCTGCATCAGATCCACCGTGCTTATCAATGATCCTGCCCAGATAAGTAAAGGTTTTTACATATTCCAAAGCTTCTACGTCATCTGTGAATTGGTTGCGGTGTAAATCTTGCTTCTTCCTTTATGTATGCTGAGACCTGCTGCTCCAGAGGCTGCCGCTACACTGGTCGTCTTCTCTTGCATTATCTGCGAAGTCCAGATTGTCCAGATGCATCATATGAATACTATCATTTGACATTAGGTCGTTTGCTATCGACAGGTAGTCTCTGTGGTGGTGTTTCGTTCTCTGAGATGGTTGTTTTGGTTGTGGAGCTCTCATTGTTCTTCAGAACAACATCATCAGCACAAACTTCAGATTGAAGTGAAGCATTCGAATTTCTTCACGTTTGACCTGTAGCTTGTTCTGCTAACCTCGATCTTGATTGGTTGCTGTTGACTTTTGACCTGCCGTTGTTTGCAACTTTGTTTTGATTGCACCCCCCTTTTGATCTGTTTCTTGATCCTGTGTCATATATATATATATATATATATATATATATATATATAGTATTGCAATGCTTATTTTCCTCTTCTCAAATATGATACTCGAAAACCGAAAGCGTAAGGTGTTAAGAGGTAGTCGACAAGGTCTTCTGTCAAAATAATCTACACGACGTTTAGTCACTTAGACTAATGACCAAATTACAGCTTGATTGTTAAAATTCGATTAGCACTAAAAAGGACTTGATACATGATATTGGTCGTCACTCAATAATCAATCATTTGTAAACGAAGGTAAAAGGCATCGTAGTATTGGATCTTAAGCACCTTGGGAATATTGTCTGTTTATGATAGAAAAGTAATCCTGATGCGAAAGGAAGCGCTCCATTCAGAACTGCTAGAAGTCTTCATAATTAATCCCATGAATTTTCTATCTGATAGACCAGTCACTGTAGAAAACAAAAGTTTATATAATTATACTACTTGAAGTAGTCTGATCCCTTTTTTGTGTAATTTCAGCGTTCAGAAATTTCACTTTATAAGTTGTCGCACTAACTGGTTTTCATTAGGAAGCCTGTACAACTAAACAATAGACTTTGTGAGATTTCATCATATTGGTGTTTTAACAGCACCATTACCATATATTTATAGTTTCGCTAGAAAGAAATAACCAACATTCATTAAAAAGTCTACATGTAATGAATACAACTTACTACATTCAACAACAAAAAATCTAGAAAATACACGTAAAAGGGAGTTTGTATGGAGGACTCACACTATCAGCATTCGTAAATCCAACAACACTGAAACACTTTTCTGCAGGAGGTTTTATAGAGGCTATATCTTCTTCGCCGAAAGGGACTACAGTTCCACCATACCGATAACCTTTGTTGTGTTGAGATAAATAAAGAATCAACACGCAATTCTAGAGCAGACACATCTAGAAAGTCATAACTTGGAAACTACTAAATAAATCAGTATTGCGAAATTTAGTATGCTAACAAATAAGTTGACAAGTTGGGTGCCTTGCATTATTTATTTTATTCAAGCACAAACATTGGTTCAAGGAGATACCAAAATATATATGCAACGCACAGATCATTCAATGAGTGTGTGCAGCAGAGTACTCACAAGAGCTTAAAGTGAGCCTTTGACTCAGAGATCTAATCCAGGCGGCAGTGGAGCAATTCTGGTACATGGTAGCCGGTAACTAACAATAGGTTCATACACCATTTGTTCTTTAAGCATCCTGGAGCCCATATGTAGCAGTTTTTGAAATGAAGTTTTGCAACTCCTTCAGGTGGATCCTCTATACCCACAAACCCGCCTTAAGCACTGGATATTCGCTTTTTGCCCTCTCGATTTTGTAAACAACTCTTTTTGCGAGAAGGTAGTGAGTAAGACTTTCCTAGGGGAGGCTACGTACGCGTGGTTGTATGAGAATGGACTTTCTCTATTTTCGGCAGTACCAGAACATTTGGAGACCAAGAAGCGACCTCCGCTTCGAATATCTCTGTATTTCAAAGCAGTAACATTATTTTTACAGTTTTGACTTTTGTAGGACACTGACTTGCAACTCTGCACTTTTTAACAGCCTCTTGTAACCATATACTCTGTTCACGTCAGATCGATTATTTACCAGGATAGTAAAACTTAAACTTACTACAGAACTTTCAATACGTGTTATGTTATTCATTCAGATTAAAGCATAGTTAAAGAGTCTTAACCAAAATCAAGTTTTAGAAACGTTTTAAGTTAAGAGTATTATTCACCAGACAGATAGACAGAAAGGTACAACGCAGAACTTCGTACGTACGTACATCAGTTCAGGTCGCCATACCACATTAGCACAGAGACGCAACTGTCAGTTCAAATCCAATAGTGGTAGCGATAGTAGAAGTATTAGTAGTAATGGGAAAGATTGGGGTTCGAAGATATGATTCGAGAAGTATAATTCAGTGAAATAAATTTAGAAAGAGAAAGATAGAGGTGAGTAATTCAGAAGGTTAGAATTTGAGAGGAAACAAATAATGGGTAACTGTATGTTTCCAAAGAAATAAAGCTCATACAATGAGCATTTCTGTCATCAAGAATTTAGAGAAATAATCTGTAAACATTAGATTAGAAAACATAAGATTAATGAGTGTTTACAAGATTATTCTAGATTTATTTCGTTGATTCTCATGGAAATTTAAAGCACACAGCAAGGTTCATTTCCGTTTATCGAAATGTAAGTATCAATGGTTTCCAGGTATAAAAAACAAAAGAAAATAAATTTCCAACTGTAAGAAATAGGTTAAATAGAATCGCTAGATTGCTGCATATGAATATACCTGTAACACTGAGTAGTAATAAAGATTACATGTATTAAATAACTAGGGCGCATGTACTTTACTTCACTACATTTTCTGCATCTATAAATTGCCTGATAAGTTCAAATAATCAGCAATCTGAATTAGTATTAATACACTTTTATATTTCAAGTTCATTTATTCATCAGAAAACAATAAATTATGTAAAATTTAAAATCTGAATATAGATTAAGATTGTGTTCCATGGGTTTTGATACATAATTAGAGCAACTGTCCCAAAAAGCTGATTTATATTCATATTAAGATGAGGAAAATACGCTAGTTACGGTGGTTACTTGTTTTACAGAAACATTTAAGTTACTAAGTAATATTCTTTAGTCTGAGCATCAAAATCATATGACTCTCAAGTTTAATTTGGTCAGGACTATCACTCCTTATTGATCATCTAGAAAATACAGACAGACAGATACAACGCAGAACTTCGTACGTAAGTACGTAAGTTGCCATACCACATCAGCGCAGAGACGCAACTGTCAGTTCGAATCCAGGAGTGATAGAGATAGTAGAAGTATTAGCAGTAATGGACATTATAGTTCGAAGATATGGTTCCATAAGTATAATTCAGTTAGATAAATTTAGAAAGAGAAAGATAGAGATTATGAGGAATTCAGAAGGTTAGAATTTGAGACAAAACAAAGAGTGAGTGCACCTGCGCCATTGCAAACGATTTTGAGCCATGTCGTTCAAGGTCTCTAACCATCGGTGACTTACGTCTCGCTAACCTGAACTAAGTAGACTACATCTACCAACATGACTCAGTCCACTAGTCAGTGACTTCACGCATTTCTGCCATGTTTTGGTCTGGCCGCCCCTAGCTTTCTTCCAGCCTACTCCTACACCACAAAACATAGCTCGTCGAGGCAGTCGGTGGTAAGTCATACGTAACACATGTCCCAACCACCTCAACTGATGAAGTTTCACCACTTCATCTATTGATCTGTCATCCTTACCTAGTACTCGTTTCCTAACGACAGCATTGCTTACTCGGTTGTCCCACGATATACGAGTAATGCTTCGGAGACATCGATGATCGAAAACAAGCAATCTACGAATGTCCTCTACTCTCGCCGGCCATGTCTCGCATCCAAATAGTAGGACCGAGCGAACAACTGCGCAGTACCCCCGTACTTTAGTTAGCAAACGGATATCTCTCTTACGCCATAAGTGACGCAGGTTGGTAAAAGCCAATCGAGGCTTCTCTATCTGTTCCTAGATACTGTCAGTCTCCAAGCCATCAGCACTGATGAGACTCCCCAGACAGGTGAAGCGGTCAACACGCTCAACTGCTTCACACCCTATCACTAACTAGTTCAGGTGCCGATGCAACCCAATTTTGAAGTAACATTTTGCTTTTCGATGTGGAGAATCACATCCCAAACATGCTTGCATTGTTGCTTAGGGTAGTCAGAAGACTGGATTTTGTCAGCGTCCTCATCGAATAGGACTGTATCATCAGCCTACTCTCAGTCAACATGCGTGGCTCCTGGTAAAATGTCCACTTCTGAAGAGTTAGACGATGATAATAATAACTCTAAAAGCATATTTACGACAAAAATAGACAAGAATTCGGAGAGTGATCATCCCTGATGGACACCACTTGAAGTGACTAATTCTGATTACAGTTTGCCATAAGCTCTCATTCGACAAGTGGTGTTCGAGTAGAGAGAGTGTATAAGGTTAGCGTACTTTTCTGGTACTCCATTTAATGGCAGACACTGCCAAAGAACCCCACGATCCCCAAAGTCAAGTGCTGCTTTAAGGTCGAAAATTACTACTATTTTGGGGCGTCTGAACGTGTCTTTGTTCTAGGACCTGACATAGTGTGGATATTTGATCTATACATCCACTTCCAGGTCGAAAACCAGCCTGGTTTACTCGAGTTTGTTCTTCACGACCTATCGTAAAGCATTGGAGTATTATTGAGGCCAATATTTTAGATACTATATTAGCTAGGCTAATTCCTCTGTGATTGTCACAAGAGGATTTTTGTCGTTTCTCAATCAGTGATTGAGATCACTTGGATGGGATTACGTCCAGTTCCCAGATTCTACCAAAGATTTCAGTCAGGATGACTGGAGATCGTGGGTAACCGAAGAGTGTCTCGAGGCCAGTTGAACTGATCCCTAAAGTGTTCTGCCCATCGATCCAGTCTCCTGGATTGAGAATAAATAACAGTCCCGTCATTTTCTGAGATAGTCTCACTTACACTAGGATTCTTAATACCAGTTCCCTTGATAAGTCGGAAAAGTTGTCTACTGTTGCCGATCGCCGCTGCCTTTTCCATCGCTTTTGCTTTCGCCACCCACCACTGTTCGCGATCGTTACGTAGGCTTTTCATAAGTCTGCGCCTAAGTTGACTTCGTTCTTCATCATGTTCAGAGCCAGGTGGGATGAGTTTTCGGGCATCCATCAGTTCGGTAGATGCTAATGAGATCCATGGCTTTATTCTAGACTTATGGTCAACCTTACTAGCACATATCACTGCTGTTTCCACAGCCTCTCTGATATCATTCCACGCTGCCTCCGGATGAGAATCACTTGCATGGTCGCCTAACTGTTTTTCTAGTTCCTCCTGAAATATTTTCTTAGCTTGATTATCATTAGGTAAAGCCCTAAAAGGTTTTCTTGCGATATTTTTCTGGCGTCCGGTAAGGCGCAAACAAATACGCGCTCGCACTAGAGCATGATCTGAATCTAAACATGTGCTCCAGAACGAGCGACAGTCCTCTATCGAACTCCTTCATCGGCGGCTGATGGCGATGTGATCTAGTTGCGTCCAACGTTGAGACGACTTCGGGGGTCTCCAGGTCAAGACAAAATTTTCCTTGTGTTTAAAATCAGTGTTTGCGAGAAATAGGCGGTTATCTGAGCACAATTTCAACAGACGGTCGCCATTGTCTGTTCTTTGAGCAGCGACACAATAACATCCACCTAGGTGTCTTTCATTTTCACTTAGTCTATCTTCTTGAGCATTAAAGTTACCAGCCATTATTACTATATCAGAGTGCCTAACTTTTTGGCGGTCCAAAAGCTTTCTGTAGAACTCATCTTTCACCTCGTCTGAGCTGTAGGCGCAGACAACGACGAGTGTCCCTATCCTTTCGAATCCTAACTGTCCCGTTCAGTCATCAGTGCATAAGAGACTATCTACTGAGATCCAGTCAAGAAGAGCTAGTTTTTCTGTAGGACTCAATGCTATACCTACACCAGCGAGACCCCGGGAAGCAGCATCAGGGCTTCCAGATACCCGGAGCGTAAATCGAGTTGGTTATTTATTTTGACAGGGTGAAATCAAATTAATGATTTTACTAGGAGATTCTAAAGTCCTAGCTAGGGAAGCCTGTTGCCCTATTTTACACAATGTTCGGACATTAAGTACTCCAACATGTAATTTAGAACGAGGTTTCAGGAGACCAGGAATTACGTTTCGTGAACTAGCATCGTTTGCATTAGCGGTGCTGGGTGATAAAGGAATGTGAGAAGAGTTAGTCGTGGAGATAAGAGAGATAATAGGGGGTGAAAGAAGGATTTGTTTGTGACCGATTTGGTCTCGCGTGCTGTTACGGGTATGACGGTGGTTGTCACTTCCCGGCTGCCCACACTGTGGAAGGGTGTTTCTTGAGGAACCTAAAAAGGAAGGTACATTAGTGTCGGTCTTCGAGACGCAAGAGTGTGACCGCAGAGTCCAAGGGACATCTGCTTGAGACCGGTCACCCACGGCCTTTTTATAAGGGTTTTTAGAATATAGGCTCCGTTCTTTTTAAAAGCCCTTATTGGGCATCCCTTACCGACGGAGACGAAAATCCGTGAGGTGAGGTGGGGTGTGAAATTTTTAGGGTCGACCTTTTCTAACCCTTTCCTTCCTTATGGGAAGGCAGATGCTGGTTGTCCAAGGGAAACACCTTACTGCTGTCACACCCCTCTGCTTTTAGTCTAATAGTTCTCCAATCGACCTGCCTAGCGTGGTAGAACTTTCAGGAACACATGTTCCAGCCAGTATAGCTCGGTTGGGTCATCACGATAGGCAAGCCCGACCAAACGTCAAGGTAGCAGCTACGGTCGGGAGTACTATTCACCACTATACATGATAAAAATTTTACAGAAACTTCTATTATTGTAACTTCTTAAGGATCATAATAATGTTTATTTTCTTTTGTGAAACTCTTACCTCGAGTAACTCCAGAAGAGTCTAAATCGGAAGAACTTCCATCTTGTGTGCGATATTTTGTAACAGTGCGCAATGGAAGAGAAGGATTTGGAGCGTACATTATTTTCAAAGCTGGTGGATGAGCCTCCTTGATATATGTATAACCAACAACTGGAATAGCGATCGAATCGCCAATTTGCAAACTTACATTCCAACCACGTTGCGCAACGCTACGAGTTTCGAATATACACAATGCAGTGACTGCATCACTTAAGAAAACAAAAATAAATGCATCATCTGGTAAGAGTGACCTTGTCTCAATATATACATACTGAAACTAAATACTGAAGGGATTAATGACAAGTTTAGCTTAAGTCCTAGCTTATACTTAGATTGCTGAAGTATAGGTATTCTTAGATGAAGCAAAAATAACATAGGGTCTTACTAAGGGCCTATATATTAAAAGGTTTATTGATTGGTAACCAGTTATTTAACATTGTGGTCGACAACTGAATTGTTTCTGCAAATGATTCATACTATTCACATTAGGGTCAAAATCATAAAATACCTGGATGGTTACATTACATAGGTTCTCAACGATTGATACTGTTTTAGATACTTTCTACAACAATATTTTCTAGAACCGTAATTTAAAGCTCACCTTAGGCTTTATAATTTTAAGATTTGAATAGTGGGGACGTGAGTGATTAATGCTATCAAATGCTCACAGTCAACTAACACTATGAACGAATATATGAGTAATCGACGAACCAATCACGCGCTCATCTCATTAACCAAACGATATAAGAATGGTGATCCAGTTTCAACTTTTGGAATGACTGAAATTTATCTAGACTTCGGGACCTGGACGTAATACCATCTAATTGGTCTTGATCGTTAGTTCTCCTAGTCGATAGTAGAACACACAAATGCTATAAACACTAAGCACCCAGCAGAACTAAAATAATACCTAAGGTACCACCCTCAATAATCATCCAGCACTTTATCAGAGCCACTGAAAGGCGAACTCCGGAGAACCAGATTGACTTCAGACCTGCACTTAGATGTATAGACCGGCCATTCATAGCACCACCAGATTCTCAAAGAGGGAAATTCCTACCAACCATCAGATATAATTGCATATTTTTACCTCAAGACAAAGCTCTGTTTGTGAGGTGCGTATCACTGGGGTGCGTAAATGAAAAGTGTGCCGAAATACACTAACCTTGTGCAGGTCTCTACTCGAACAGTATCAGTCGAATCATTGCTTATGGTGAACTGTTATCGGGATTGACTACTTCAAGTAGTGTTCATCAGGGTTGTCCGCTCTCCTCGTTTTTATTTAACTTCGTCGTAGACATGCTTTTAGATATAAAACTTTTGTCGGCTGATATTTTAGGGGTTAAACTTCTACAAGGATATTCACTTGTTGACTCAAAATATGCAGATGACAGTTCTGTTTGGTGTGTTCTCAAAGTTCTTCTCTATTTCAGTTTCAGTTGATCTGCCGGCAGGTTCACTTGTTGACTTAGACTTCGCAGACGATATAGTTCTGATTGATGAAGACGCTAGCAAACTGCAGTCTTTAGAACTTGATTCTTTCCCTCCAAATGCAAAATGTTGCTTCAGCATTGGTTTGTGTCGGCGCCTGAATTAATAATAGGGAATCAAGTACTCGAGTATCGGTCAACTCACCTATCTTGGATGTTTCATCAGTCCCGGGGTTCTGGAGTCCGACGAAATATCGGCATGTATTTGGGAAGCCCAGTTGGTGTTTGCCAACGCGTTGTTTGTGGTATAGGCTAGATAACCATCTTTCAATCAAAGGACGAGTTTACTGAGCAGCATTTTGCTTCGTTCTACTTTACGGTAGTGAAATGTGGCCTTTAAAAATAGGGAATATTCGTAAGTCACTAGTAGTTCATCATAGATCCCTTTGAACTATTGCTCGTGCATTTTGAGACGATTGAGTAAGCAATGCCTGGGTTAGGAATAGAGTTCCAGATAAGGATAACAAATCGATTATTGAAGTAGTGAGTGTCTATCGATTGAGATGGTCAGAAAATGTATTTCGTATGCCAACCCACCGGCTATCTCGAGGCACAATGATGTCTGATGTAGGTGTAGACTGAAAGTTATGGGAGGCTGAAGTAAGGCATGGAATTAGTCCACGAAGAATTCTACTAGTGGATTGACCCAATTAGGTAGCTTTAAGCTATGTGGTTGCGATCCGCGTAAATACCATAATCGGTTGTTAGAGGCTTTAGGTGATATAGCCCAGAATAGTTCGTAATAGCACAGGTATAATCACTTTTTGTTTTACTTTAGACCCAAAGTTTCCAAGATGTCCCTTTAATTTACTAATCAACACATTTCTTAATTCGGAACTTTGAAGTCTAATCTCATATTAGAACTATTATTTTCACTACCTCTACCATTCTGTTATTTGGTTTGACTATTTTATCTCGCTGTTTTTGTAGCTCTATCCTCTGAATTGGATAAATTAACCGTGAAGTTTACAGCATTTCTCAGAACAACATTACTAAAGCCTTTAGATAGGTTAGGTTATTAATAGTAAAAGCTTCACGATCAAATCATTCAACTCGGAGAATGAAACTTCAGCTAAACCGCCCACTGAGGTACAGATTTTTTCCCAATATCGCATTTCACTGTGCTAGCGAAGTGTCACAATCTGAACCGATGCACATAAGTGCCAGGTTCTGTGTTGCCCATTACAGACTGATTGAATGCTTGAAAAATGTGACATGCACAACAGAGCAACAATCATTTTATTTCCTTTTTACCAATATTAACTCAACTTCCTGAAGAAGATTGTTGTCGAATGTCTCCAAACATTTACTTCGATGTTGACAATGTTGCAGACAAAAATACAATGTATAGCAAACGGTACAACAATCAGCATCATTGGATACGATGGTTAGCCGAATATGATACTTTACTACAAACGCGTAAAAGGTATAACGTGCATATAGTGAGCCTCAGGCATCGTAACAACAAAAATAGACAAGACGAAAAACTTCTCGAGGAAAACAATTAAGGCTTAAGGGGTAGAAGCCTCATAGAAATATAGAGAGAAGCTGGCTGATGCATTCGCAACAATTTGTTCGATTTTAAGAGATAGTTTTTAAATAGCAGCGGAACTTCGTTTGATTAGTAGAAGATTCTGTTTACTTAGAACGTAATCCTGTACAGATAAAAAGTCGACAAAAACCACCCAAAGTGCTTTAGTACAGCTTTAGAAACACTTTAAGTAAAATGAACAGAAGTTCCGTCGATCTTTCTGAACACAGGTTTGGTTTTTTTCTATTCAACAGTGTTCAGTAGCTGGGAAATTTTATTGACCATTGATTTTCCCTTCATTTGTAGTAAGACCATCATTCAACATTGATTGTTGCTTTAACATCGACTTTTGTTAAATCACCGATTTTGTTACCACTGCCTCTAATTATGTTTAGAGGACTTATACTGATCTGTTAACCACCCATGATAGTTGATGAACCATTTCCGCTAATACCTATAAACTGTTATAATCTGACACCATTGAATACTTTGATTTTGTGCTTTCACATTATTCCGAAGAGTGGTAGAAGAATCTTATGTAGTTTTTCATAATTTAGATTATGAAAAGTGGACAAGTTTGAGCCACTGTGATCTGTTCTGAGACCTACTAATTAGCGGGATTCCCAACGACTGACCTCTACTACTCCGAGTTATCTAAAAGGCACAGACAATGTCTTCGATAGATAACCAACCGATTTAAAGACTGGTGTGTTATCTAGATATATTTCCACCTTAATCCTGCTTCAACCAATGTTGTACATCAGAAACAGGCGATGATTTTACATAGACTTCTTATAACCAAACTGAAATCATGATCTGATAGCCCGATTAAACCTTTCTATTTAGAATTATATACTTAATCTTACCACACGACTGAATAATCCTGCTAAAAACAAAGGTTAGTATGTAAACGCCCATGTCCAAATTATTAGTTTCAAATCATACAAATGGCCTTACTAACCTACCTAAAGTCATATGATTCTCCATCTAAATGATCCCAAAGTTCGGCGAAAAAAGAAATGGAAGGCCTTGTTTTCAGGGAATGATGAGAGAGGTGAGAAACTGCATTGGAAGTTCCAGGTAACCCTGGAGTTTCAGGTGAGATATTACTATCATTCTTCAAATCACAACCAATCAGGCTAAATTTGATACCAGAAGATCGGAGGCTATCAGAAACTCTGGATACGTCTGAATCATCAAACGAACCATATAAATTGCTGACAAGCAACAGGTGCTTTTCTTTTACGTTTATTTTATCTCTGAGAGTTGGTAATACACATGAAATATGATTACTTGCAACGATTAAATAAATGGTCAGCTCCTACCATCAGTGCATCAACAACTATTTATAGCAATTAAGTTCATTTGATGAATTTTACCATCTCCAGTCGAGCGTGATAATAAGTTTGGTTCTAGGAATTCCAAGATCTTCCAACTTATAGGAGCAAGTTCGAAAGCCAAACAAATATTTTGAAAACTGCCCTCTTCATCAGCTAAACCATTGTCAGTAACGTCAGACCCACAGAGAATGAGTGCAACTTGATCTTTTGATTCGGCGAAAAACTAAATAAAATGTGACAGACTGACAGCAACCTTCTGAACTTACTTTCTTTTCTAATAACAGCTTAGTGCACTCAATGGCCTCGCTAAAATTAGGAGTCATATGAATTCCTACATCAAGTACAATGCCAAGAGCAGTCTAAATACTGTAACAGAGAACAGCCAGCTTACTGTCATTGTATCTGTATGGTGATGACGTTAAGTGGTAACATTAACCTGACTAACACGATGAAGCATGAAAGTGTAGTCAGCTAACGGCCTTGAATGGACCAATAACAATTTCGATAGACCTTACTTATTTTGCGCGAAACTTAAAACGCTCTGGTGTAACGCATTCGAAACCTAACTCTATCAACTCCTAGTTTCGTTTATCAGTTTGTCTTAATCTTACACTGGCTTTATATCTGGTTGCTGTCTAATTATTCGTATATTGCATGTAAGTGCATTCTATGTGCTTACTGAGTCGTCGGCTCATCTTTTTCTCTTGTTCTTTCTTCTTCCAGATAATCTGATACGCTGCTCTTCATATTCCCCCTAGCACACAAGGTACCTCTTGTCTAGACGCAAACCAACCAAAGGCTGAAGTTACACTGGTATAACGGAGTCAAAATCACTATGTGTGGTGTTGCTAATTCGTTCTGTTTTCTTTCTATTTCAGGGCGATCAAACACAAACGCTTTGGAAGCCGAAGAACAAGCTCTGAGTGCTCTAAACTAATAGGATGACTCATAAGACATTGGTACACTACCCACCCTATTCCTGTAAAAACTCCGCGTGTTTAATTTTCAAATGAAAGAGTGCCGTGACAACCACTTGGTGTTCTCTCCTGGTATGAGGCGTTAAACTAACCTTGTATGTTGTGATTTTAGATCCTCTCCGCCCTTCAGTGACTGCTGATTACATGTGTTACATTTGGCGATGTAGGTGTCTACAGGAAGACTCAAAGCAAACTCAGATGAACCCCCTGGTGCTGCCAACCAAGGCAACAAGCAGCATTAGCCCGCGTCAGCCACCACTTTTAGAAAACTCGTCAGATTGTGCTGCTTGGAACTTTAGGGTGGAAGCATATCTGCGGCAGATGCCTGTGTCAGAACATATTAATTACCTTATATCGTTCCTGAGCGATGAGGCGGTAGGAGCATATGGTTTCTCAACAGGCAATTCTTTACCCCAAAACTGGAAGATACTGGATGAATGTTTTCCCTATCTGTGGATAAACAGCATGTGACTATGCAATTTTTGTCTTGTCACCAGAAATCCGGAGAAAGTCCGATAGAGTACCTCGATGCTTTACAACTAATTGCAGTGCAGGCTTTTCCTGATCTGGATGCCTCGGGACCGGACGAACTGATACGCTCCCGTTGTGTTGAAGGGATTGAGCATGGACCATTAAAAGAATATCTACTTCAAATACCACCGGTCAGTACCGCCGAATTGAAGAGAACGGCACTCCGATTTATTACGGCAGACAGAATTTCAAACCCATCAGAAGCCCATCGACATTCTGTGATGACGGTGGAAACCAGTCAGTTGGGTTGTTCCTCGAGGGTAGCATCTGCTCCACACCTTTCCAGCCGATGCATTAATCGTGGGCGGTCAAACTGGATGTGGAACAGACGACCAGCGTATAACAACTACCACGGACGTCAGACGGAATGTGTCTATTGCAGGAGGTTTGGAAGAAACGCTTGGAGATGCGAACACAACCGACCTCCTAATCCAGGTGAGCCAGACGTTTACTATTTATCTTCCTGTCATGTTAATCATATCAGCCCCATCACCCTCAAAGGCAGAGCGCAAGGTGTGGTGATTGACATACTGCTAGACACTGGAGCTTCCACATCCCTCATCAAGGAAGCGTTCTTAAAGAGACTGCACCATAAAGTCCAGCAAAAACGATGCTCCTCAGCATTAATAACAGCTAGTGGGGACCCCTTAAAGTGTGTTATAAGACAGCATTAGACTTAACATTGGAGAATTGTTCGTTTCGTCATGAGTTTTTAGTTTGCTCTACATTAAACTGGGACATGATATTGGGCGTAGATTTTATGTTAAAACACCAAGTTTCTATATTTATAGATACGGCAGAAGAGAAAGTTGGCGAGGCTACGGTACACCTACACCAGTATTCAGGGGCGACTAAGCCTGTAGATCACATTGGAATTTCAGAGTTGGTACGTCGGGTAGAAAGCAACCAAATGATACAGGAAATTGATCTCGGGCAACCGTGGCTGTGCTCCGACAGTTTAGTTCTGTGTTCGAGGAAAGCATTTCTGGAAATCGTACGAATACAATACAACATTCTATTTTTATAGGGGACCATATGCCCATCCGACAGCCGCCTTGCATAGTGTTACGTCCAGTTTTTTGCTCGTTGATCTTTAGAAGCACGGTTGTCGTTCTATTTGCAATTCACGATCCCCAAATATTGAATAAGAACGAAACTCCAAAGTAGATACCAAAGTTTATTCCAAATCACAAAATCGACCAAAATATGTTATTACAAATAGACGACCAATGTCGTTCTAACAACAATAATTATAATAATTACAATTACCTATTTTATTGGCTCTTGGAGCAAAAAACTGCAAACGAACAACCAAGAGAAACGGGAGTTCAAAATGTCCGAAAATAATAATTCAAACAAGTTCATAAGTTAAGTAAAACAAATATACCCAAAAAACAGTGAAATTAATGATATTTATATATAAAGGTTTTGATCAGCAAAATGTCTTCATTCCTCCCGTAACACTCCCGACCAAAAGAACCTTGGTTCTTTTCACCGACAAAAATAGATAACAACAATCCAAGTATGTGCATCACAAGCAATCAACAACAAACATTCAATATAGATTCTACACCGGCCCACAAAATCCCTCTAAGCAAAACAAGCCCTTTCTAACACTTCAATTTACGGTTCACTCTCATCCTCTAATCCACACCGGAAGAACGAGCAAGACTTACAGCAGTACGCCTACCCGCCCTCCAACATGGATATGACCTATCAAACTAACAATGTACCTGTACCTTCGAGATCTGATCCTTGATTCCCCTATCTATCGTAGCATGACCTAACGGTAGTATTAGCCTTATCCAATTAACCCACACGAACATGTACAGCCCGTCGTAAAGCTGGTCATATCCTCTTAGAGATTTACCTTCCACCTCATGGGGATGAGTCGTCAATCCACCACCCATTGCTCCAAACAGCAGATCCGATGAAGCCCGTGATGCTGACTTATCAACAGAAGTTCTTGACCCATAGATTATATGCAAGGGTGGGATCTCTGTCTTTGATGTTTCCTCGTCTCCCGAAGACTCTAGGTGGCATAACGTAGGAACAATATTCAACTCTCCATCTCCTGGTACAGAAGTTTGATCAGCATTCGTCAACGTCGACAAATCATTTGTCACATCAGTGACATCCAGGTTATTACCATCGTCATTATGATTCCGTTCTGTCAGACAAGTAGCGTCGTTTCTGGCTACACTAGCATCCGTAGAGTGAAACTCTTCCTTTGTTGTATAACTCATCTCTCTACATGAAAGAACAGCATTAGTGTCACAATCCAAAACCGATAAACTCACTTGTTGTTCTTCCTGTTCCGTTTCAGAGACACACGACATATGCACGTCAATAGCATCGTATCAGGCAACACTGTAGACTGGCTGTTTCCATCGGACACTTCCTGCTCATCATCACTTGACTGACAGTCAACCGAAGTAGGAACACTTACAGTTACACAACCTTGTGTATCCTCAATCAACTTAACATTCGTGACGAGGTCCGATGACGTCAAAACACTAGAAGGCTCATCCAATGAAGTTGATCGACCAGTCACTATAGGTGGACTGCTCACACTTTCTGTCTCCTTACTGTCACTGTCACTACTAAGATTCGGATGACTACTATTTCCATTGCTAGTCACAGCATCCGAAAGAGAACGAAGTTTAAGCTTCTTAATAATAGTAGCATTGATGTAAGAATGGATGTATGCCACGTCCTCACATCCAGTTTCCGAGGCGTCACAGAAAATATGAAGTTCCAGGAGCGAGAGATCTGATTGTGGGATTAATACACAGCGTGGAAAACTAACGTTCTCAACCCTCTTAAATCCACTTAAAATCTCTAACCAGCGTTTGCCTTCCTCACTTGGAATCTCTTCGTCCCATCCTAGTCCTAATTTACTCAAACGTTGAAGTAGCTGCTTAATAGGAAGTGTGAATGGTGCTGACAATCCCAAGGGGTCGTATAATGAAGCTACATTCGACAATATACCTCGCCTAGTGAGAGGGCATTTCGGTATGCGAACTTTAAATTCAAACGCATCAACCATAGTATTCCAAAATAATCCCAATGTGCATTCCGTAGGAAGTCTCTCAAAGTCAATCTCTTTTCGGGCTTCTGCTCTCTCTTCTGGATGAATTGATTCGAGAACCTGTAAACAGTTACTTATCCACTTGGTAAGTCTGAACCCACCTTTTCTGAGAAGTAAACCAAGGGTTTTTGCAAGTTCGATTGCATCCTGTACATTATCAATTGATGTTAAATAGTCGTCGACATAGAAACTCTTATCTACAACTTCCTGGACATCTTTATTCAATTCCTTTCCGAATATATCTACCGTCTTCCGAAGAGCGAAATTAGCGCAAAAGGGAGAGGACACGGCTCCAAACGGATGAACTGTCAAACGATATTCTTTAGCCTTTCGTCCTATATCACCGTCTTCCCACCATAATAGTCGAAACGCTCCCCTGTCTCGTTTCGGGATCTTTACTTGAAGAAACATCTCCTCGATGTCAGCGGCTAATGCTACGTTGCATAATCTGAATCGTAGAAGTATACCAATTAAACTATTTACAGTATTAGGTCCTCTCAAAAGCTGATCGTTAAGAGAACAACCTTGATAGACAGCTGCACAATCAAAAACAATTCTTAATTTTCCAGGCTTTTTAGGGTTGATAACAGGATGATGAGGAATCTACCAACAAACAGCATCACGGTCGAATTCCTCCTTACTAGCTTCAGTGATGTAGCGTTTACTTAAATGTTTACTCATTACAAGTTGATATTTCTCCAGAAGACTATTATCCTTCATAAACCTCTTCCTTAAACACTCTAGTCTACGTTCAGCTAGTTCCAAATTATTCGGTAGCCTTGGCTTATCATACTTCCAGGGTAGACCAACTTGGAAATGGCCACTCTCCAGTCTAAAGGAACTATTAACTATTTCTAGAGCTCTTTTATCTTCGACAGAATATTCATTACG